CTCATAAATTCCGCCCTGTCTAATTTCTACTTTCAGCGAAGATCTCGGCTCCTTTTTGGTGAATGATTCCCCTCCCTTACGAACCCTGAGAATTAGACCCACCCTTCCTCTCTTCCCCGCCTTTCTCGCCCGTCACCACCGCCCAGTCGTCATAGCTGGACTGTCGATCCGAGTTCTTAGACCGAAGACGGGGCAACTTATAAGTGATGACGGCCCGCGTCTTAGTAGTTTCGTCTTGTTCAGTTTTGTCGAGTGGTCGGGTCTTCCGCTGGTTCTGTGGACGGTTTTTACGATCGACAACTTACTGTGATCAGAGATGAAGCGCGGCAAGGAAGTGAGTGCCGAATACCCGAAGGGCGAGAAGTGCGTAAAAAGCGAGGGTCTTAGGAGCAAGCTCTACTTCAATAAGGTTTGTCTTTTTCTGTGTACGAATGTACAGATCTGTCTGGGTGCTGCATATGTGCCATCTGGTGATTGGCGATCTGGACAATCTTGGGTACCTCCCTCACTCTCCGCTCCGCAAGTGCGCGAAGCCCTTCTTGGGAATTCTTGTTTAAGACATGCGTTCGTTTGACCGGTAGTAATGGTGCGAGTTTAGTTCTTGACGAGCGACGCATACCTGGAATATTCTGATCGGCGAACTGCACAAAGACAGTTTTTGGGGACAGTGTTTTCAATAAACTCGTTTCCGCCGCTGTTGCTCTGGACCCACACAGCTCGTTTCTCTCTATCCAGGTCGTGATGAGCTCGGTGCAGCACACGCTAACGACACTGCGCCTTGTTTTATGGACCTCTGAAGACTGGCGTTGATAAGTTTATCCCCAGGCAGCAGCTGTTAAGCCCCCTAGACATCATATGCCTGAGATGCTCACTCTCTGGCGCCTTTAGCGGCTACGAAAAAAAAAAATGCTTAGACCTGGACACCCATGGAAGCTTGATGTTTACTTATGCCTCCAACAGTAAAACTGGGTTAGAAGCAGAGAATTATTCTCTAAAGAGGTATGCAGCTCTTATCGTCGACGGAAGGGCTTAAAAGACTTCAAACTTTCCGGTCTCCTTTCATCGCTTCCGTCACCTCCCTCGGCCCCTTTCCCCATCCTCATACCTTCCAGCGGGCGTATTCCGCAATTCCGGGCTCTTTTTATCCCAGGTTTTACACT